GTTCTCTGTACTTGTCTCTAGTATATAATTTTTTGGATGTTGAGCGGGGACATGTGGTGCTTCGTATTGAGCTACTTTTTTTTGTTATGGTTGCAGGAGATAAGTTTGCTTGGTTTAGGGATGCTGAGTTTGCGAGACAAACTCTTGCAGGTCAAAATCCATTGTGCATCAAGTTGGTTACGGTATGGCCAACACACTCAAAGTTCAATTAAATTGTTAAGGGTCATAATGCATTTGTATGGATGTTCATTTTGGTTTTTATTGTGAACACACATTGCGAAAAATTCTCCTGATCTATATAATTACAGAGACCCGAAGTACCTTTTAACAAATAAAAATCACTTTGTGCCCATTGTTTCAATTTCATAAAGTCCATTCTGAAGAGGAGGATATCTTTTATCAAATGGGAAAAGTTAGGAGCATGTATGTTATACCTAACGGGGTATCCACTGTTTCGAAACATTATCGAGTCGTACTGTAATTTGATCATACTCAGCTGCAGGTTTTACACTTTCTCCTACCTCATATGTTGAATTTGAGAAATATGCGATATAGTAGACACATAACACTAAATTTGTCTAATTTGTTTGTTACAGGAATGGCCTCTGAAAAGTGATCTCGACCCTAAGATCTACGGGCCTGCTGAATCAGCAATCACAAAGGAACTGGTAGAGAACGTAATTGGAGGCCACATGACAGTTGATGAGGTGAAATCCAGACTGCTGGGAAAGTTGGGCGTGATTTCATGCGATAACGTTTTGATCTATTTTGTCCTTTTTTTCTTTTTTTCTTTTTTTTTTTTCTAGGCATTGAAGCAAAAGAAGTTGTTCATTTTAGATTACCACGACATTTTCTTGCCTTACGTGAACAAAATAAGGGAGCTCAAGGGGACTACCTTTTATGGGTCGAGGACTTTATTTTTCTTGATGCCTGGAGGTGTGTTAAGGCCCGTTGCCATCGAGTTAGTGAGACCACCGGTAGATGGGAAACCCCAGTGGAAGGAGGTCTACCAGCCATCTTGGAACCCAACTGCCATCTGGTTGTGGAGGCTGGCTAAGGCTCACGTCTTGGCTAATGACTCGGCTTTCCATCAGCTGTGTAATCACTGGTGAGTTTTTCTTTCTTACATCCATGGTTTCTCTACCTTTATATTTCAGTTACTTTTTAATTTTGTACCCGGAGCTTTAGAGGAAAAAAGTAAGGGAATGTTGAATTCTCGTAGAAACTGTTCCTGCTACAAAAAAATTGAATAGATTCCTTACAGAATACGACTGAGTAACAAAAAGGTCTGAACTCAAGCGTGTGAAAATATATATAGAACCATCCTTTTTTTGACAATCTTGATATATTGTGTGTACTCTGCAGGCTACGTACTCATTGCTGTTCAGAGCCTTATGTAATCGCGACTAATAGGCAATTGAGTGCAATGCATCCGATTTATAGACTGTTGCATCCCCATTTGCGGTACACGATGGAGATTAATGCTATGTCTCGTGACTCCCTTATCAGTGCCAATGGTTTCCTTGAGGGTGCATACTCCACGAGTAAGTACTCTGCAGAATTGAGCTCTCATCTCTATGACAAATTATGGCAGTTCGACGTAGAGTCACTACCGGCTGATTTAATCAACAGGTAAACTATTTAATAGGGATAATTATATTTTATCTCTAAAAGTTGATGCAACCCATCTTGAAGTGAGACAGTCCCCTGAAACCAACTTTTTTTTTTATTAATTAAAAAATCTTACCTAAAGATTGAAAACTCTGTAAAAGCCAGAAAGTTAGAAGATGTCTGTGTCAAGTGCTGTAACGAACCAAACATGCCGAGCTTGAGCATCTCAAGCTCGTGTTCTTTTGTGTTCGAACAAGTTGGTTCTTTTATTATTTGAGCTAAAATTGGTGTTCGAACTCGTTTGCTTAATTGTTCGTTAAAGTTCGATATGTTCATGTTTGAATGACCTAGTAAAGCAAACTAACTAAAATTGTTTAATTAACTCAATTTCAGTTTGTTCGAAAATCGTTCGCGCTCGAAATAAAAAAAATAAATAAATAAATAAAAATTCAGTTTGGCACTTTTATAATATCTATTAAAAATATTATGCATATAAATGTGAAAATATGAAAATTATATATCGTGTTAATGTTTGAACATTATTGAATCATGTATGTATACTCTATCTTTCGACCACCCAAAGATATACATATACACACATAAGGGTTGGTTCAAATAAAAATTAGTCTTGGTGTGAGAACCGTGAGAACTGAATTTGATGCTATTTTTAATTGTGTATGATGCTATTTTTACTGTTACATAGTGTTATCATTTTCACAAAAAAATTTTATTGCTAATTTTGATAAATAACACCATGGTTAAAAATAACACTAAAATCCAATCAATCATAACACTACTTACAATTAAAAATAGCGGTTCTCACGGTTCTCACACTAAGATGTGGTTCAAATGTTTGGTTCTCATTTGAACCACATCCTACACACATAATGTTATGTTATTCAATTGTTTTGTAACTCCAGGGGAATGGCTGTGGAGGATCCAACTGCACCTCATGGACTGAAGCTGACTATTGAAGACTACCCTTATGCAAACGATGGCCTGCTCTTATACGACGCCATCACAGAGTGGGTCACTGATTACGTCACGCACTACTATCCCGAACCAAACCTCGTCCAATCAGACAGCGAGCTCCAATCATGGTGGACAGAGATCCGAACACTGGGCCACATGGACAAAAAAGACGAGCCCTGGTGGCCCCAGCTGAAATCTCCACAGGACCTGATTGGGATCCTCACGACCATCATATGGGTGGTCTCAGGCCACCATGCAGCAGTCAACTTTGCCCAATTCGATTTTGGCGGCTATTTTCCCAACAGGCCCACCATAACCCGAACCCCAATGCCCACCGAAGACCCAAGTGAGGAAGATAAGAAGAAGTTTCTAGAAAGGCCCGAGGCATTTCTTTTGGATTGCCTTCCTTCGCAAATGCAGGCGATGAACGTGCTGGCTGTTCTGGACGTTGTGTCTGCACATTCGCCCGATGAGGAGTATCTCGGGGAGAAAATCGAGCCGTTTTGGGCGGAGGATAAAGTGATAGCCGCGGCTTTTAAGAGGTTTAACGGGCGGATGAAAGAGATTGAAGGGATTATCGACGGTAGGAATGCGGATACGAGGTTGATGAATCGGACTGGGGCTGGCGTGGTGCCGTACACGCTCTTGAAGCCGTTTTCGGAACCTGGTGTGACGTTGAGAGGTGTGCCGAACAGCGTCTCGATTTGATGTCCAGGTCAGACCTAAAATGCAAATCCAGATTCTGCATGAACAAGTGAAACAAATTCAGGAGCATTTTTTTTAGATATGATTCCACTCACCACTGCCGTGAAATTTTTAAATATGCAACACTACTTTATTTCACAAGCATAAATGACAATCAAAATGTAATAAGATTTCAGTGTGTACGAGGATTTATTTGCCATGCTTAATTGCCTATGAATATTTACGTCTATTCTGCAAACTGGTGATTGTTTTGGGCTCTTTATAGCAATGCTTACTTCCAGAGAAAACTGCACGTAAAA